TCTGAAAATATTATTTTCCACACACACTCACATACTTGTACACATAGATCATGCCCTCAAACATGCATCTGTATCTTTACATACACATGGGCCTACTATCCATGTATATACCAACATACCCAGGTAGAGTGTGTATGTACACCAGTCTCATTTGTACAGGTTGGTGCCTTCCTGTCCCCTGAGTCCCATGCTCCATTCTGGCTAGTCCCTTTGAACCCAGGTGCACAGCATCACTCTAGAACCTTCCTTCCCTGTCATCCTGGAGACTTCATTCATGTCTTTTGTGTTAAATCTCCTCTTTACAAATCCTCTGACTCTCTGTTCCTGGTTTATGCCCCCCCACCTTCTTTTTTTAACTAATAGAAATTTATTTCCTAACAGTTTAGAAGGCTAGGAGTACAAATTCAGGCGCCTGTTCTGGAGAAAGGTCTTTTTCTCATTTTAGCATCTGTAGACCCTGTATTCCTTAGAGTTCTCCATGTCTCTTGGCCTCAATCTTCCTCTGGATCTAGGAGCTTCACAGTGCAGGGACCCCCAGTCCAAAGGGCACACTCCACTCCCAGCTCTTCTTTCTGGATGGCAGTGGGACCTCCTTCTCTGCTCACTTCCTTCTCCTTTTATATCTCAAAAGAGATTGGTTCATGATACAACCTAATCCTGTAGACTGCATCTGATCTGTTGATATCTGGAAGTTGTTGTTGTTGTTGTCAGGTGCCATCGAGTCGGAACCGACTCATAGCGACCCCATGCACAGCAGAACGAAACAATGTTCGATCCTGGGCCAACCTCACTACCGCTGCCACACTTGAGTCCATCAATGATGCCACCTGGCTGATCCATCTCGTTGGGGGTCTTCCTCTTTTTCTCTGACCCTCCACCCTACCCAGCATGACATCCTTCTCCAACGATTGTTTCCTCTGGACAATATGTCCAAAGTAGGAGAGACGAAGCTTAGCCATCCTGGCCTCCAAGGAGCACTCTGGCTGCACCTCTTCCAAAACAGATCTATTGGTTCTTTTAGCAGTCCATGGCACTTTCAGTATTCTCCTCCAACACCACAACTCAAAGGCATCAATTCTTCTACGATCCTCCTTATTCACTGTCCAGCTTTCGCATCCATATGAGGCTATTGAAAACACAATGGTCTGGGTCAGGCGCACCCTAGTCCTCAAGCTGACATCTCTGCTCTTCAACACTTTAAAAAGTTCTTGGAAGTAAGGATTTATAATACATTGGATAATTACATCAGATCAAGGTTGATCACATCAGATCATCTCATGGAGCTGATTGTATTATATTAGATCCTATCATGGAGGTGATAAAGATATCTTAACCGGTAAACCACTGCAAATCCTGGCCTAGCCAAGTTGACACAAAACCTGAACTATCACAGTGGGGTAAAGTTTCTCAATGAAATTCTTTAAGGACATCCCTTGCTGCCCTTGAAGGATGAGCAGGTACATTGTAGTAATGGGAAAACAAATTGTCAGCATAAATTTCCCAACCTTTTTCTCACTAGTACAGTTTTAAATTTTAGGAAAACTTTTTCCTAATGAACTCCTACCTCCATGATTGTCCTGCATCCTTCAAGAAGATCATTTAAGAATACACTTTTTGAATCTCAAATAAATCATTATATTCTTCTGGACTGATTTCCTTGTCTTGAATTCAACTGCAGTTGATCCCCTTAGGAACCACTGTTTTGATTGGACCTTTTGTGTGTGTGTGAAGGTACTCCAATGACACTATGACAAGCTTATTACTGAAAGAACTTGTCTGCAGCCAACCACTGATCAAAGAGACAGATTTAAACACATTTGGTTTGGAATAAGCCTATGCCTTTGTAAACTGGAACTCTAGTAATAATTCTTCTTGACTTACTGCAAAAATTGTCTGGAGGCCATGTCTGACTTCTGGCTTCACAAGTAGGGGAGAATCAAACTCAAAACTAGCTGAAGCCTGGTTTCTGTGAAGTGGAGGTCAGACATGCTTCCACCCTACAACTTTCCTTTTTTTTTTTTGAAGTTTTTATTGTGAATTAAGTGATAGTTTATATGGAAGAACATTAGCTTTACATTCATCCTGTCGTATTTTGTTTCATTACAATGATTGCAATCCCCTCCATGCATCATCAAACAATCAAAGGGTACACCCCGCAAGTCAGTGTTTCTCTGGATAGGGTCCCGCACTCTGCTCTTCTCCCTTGATGGTCCCAGGGACCTCTGCTCCTAGACTGCAAAATCAACCACTCCCCTCCTTTTGTGGTAACCTGTTTTTGTAATTATTTATACCTGTGGAAACCCTGTAGAGCAGTTCTACTCTAACCTTGTTGTTGTTGTTGTTAAGTGCCATAAAGTTGGTTCCAACCCATAGTGAACCTGTATAGGTTTTTTTTGTTAATGTTTTAATGTGAATAATGTTATAGTTTACATGGGGGAACATTAGTTTTACATCTGGTTTATGACCTATTACGATGGAGCATGTCGTTCACTAACTTCTTGAAAAGTGGTGTATGTTTCTGGGACCTCATATTTCTGAAATTGTTCG